TTGGTTCTAGCAGGGTCCCCCAGGGTTGGGTTGTCTCCTTAGGGGTGCCGTGTTCTCCTGAGGCATTCATGCAGAAAGCTTCCAGATGTGCTCATCCGGCGGAGACGCTGCCGCCTCTGCCCGCAAGCCTAGAGCTCCTCATGACCACGTTTTCCCAAAGCTCTCTTCAGGAAGTTCAGAGACGGAGGTGTCGTTTTCTGCAGTCCGCCCTTGCCAGGGCAAGTGAGTTGGAGCCGCAAGAGCGGGCGCTGCACGCTTCCATGTCGGCTCATGTTCGTCACATTCTGCAGGGCAAGCGGCTCCTTTTACTGCATGAGTTGTTACAGGGTCTCGGTCACGCTGATGTGCACCTGGTTCGTGACATCTCCTCGGGTTTTCCCTTGACCGGTTGGCTTGCACCAAGCAATGTCATGGAAACCAAGTTCTCTGTTCCATCAGTCACTGTTGACTCCCTTTGGGCTGATCGTGAGAAGCTCAACGCTCAGGCGTGGAATTCCACTCGGTCCACTGGCGATGCCGACTTGGATGAAAGATTGTGGCAAGCAACGTTGGATGATGTGGCAGCAGGCTGGGCCACACTGGACGAGTCTCCCGAGTCTCCCCCAAGCGATTGCATCCTCAGCCGAAGGTTTGGTGTGGTTCAGGGTTCGCGCCTGCGTGCCATTGATGATTTTAGTTTCAGTGGCTTAAACAGTGCGTTGGGAGTGTGTGAGAAGGTCACAACCATGAGCACCTCTCACACTGTTGCTCTGATCTTGCGATTGTTGAGTCTGTGTTCGAATCATCGTCCGACCTTAAAGGGTCGCTGTTACGACTTGAAGTCTGCGTATAGGCAGTTGCCTATCCACCGTGACCATTTGAGGTTTGCGGCAGTGTGCGTTTTCAACCCGCGCACTAAAAGACCAGCAGTGCTGCACATGTCGGCTCTTCCATTCGGAGCCGGGGCCAGTGTTTCGAACTTTGTTCGAGTTTCTCTAGGTCTCTGGAGGGTGCTCACCGAGTTAGCGCTGGTGCCCTGCACCCTCTTTTTTGATGACTTCAGTTCAGCCACCTGGACCGAGGACTGCCACAATTTGGACTGCACTGTCAACATGTTGTTTCGCATTTTGGGCTGGCGGTTGGCCACAGAGGGCTCCAAGGCCACTCCTTTTCAGGAAGCTTTCCAGAGCCTAGGCGTTCTGTTCACTTTGTCTCCAGGTGCGGATCGTGCTCTGCAGGTCTCAAACACTGAGGCCAGAAAAGCAGAGGTCTCAGAGTGGTGCGTTGCTGTTCTGACAAAAGGGACCTGTTCCAGTCGAGACTTTCGGGCCTTTGCCAGCCGCGTTCGCTGGCTCAGTGGCCAAGTCTTTGGCAGATCCTGTGGCCTGGCTCTTAAAGTACTGTTACAGGAAGCTTCGCTGGATCCTCAGCATAGTGCTCGTCCACTCAGTCCGCGTGCCCGCTGGGCTGTGAGTTGGATCTTGGACCATGTGCCCGCCGCAGGACCGAAGAGATGGGATCGTGCAGGGCGTGCCAAACGACACCTGTTTACTGACGGGTGTTTTGAGAATGGGGTGGGCCGCATAGGAGCTGTTTTGTGTGATGGTCATTGCAGACCAATTGCATTCATGTCTTCTACGGTCCCGACCTTCGTGGTTTCAGCCTGGTGTGCTGATGGCACCAGCCATCCCATCATTCAGACCGAACTTGCAGCAGTGGCTGTTGCAATGCATTTGTGGCAACCTGAGCTCTTCAGATCACGAACGATGCTCTGGATCGACAATGAGGTTTGCAGATTTGCCCTGATGAAAGGGCACATGTTCCCGGAGTCTGCTGAGCATATGCTTCGACTTTGCTTAGAAGTGGAACAGTCCTCCGACGTGCAGTTGTGGGTGTGCCGCGTCCCCAGTCACAGCAACCCGGCCGACGCCCCGAGCCGTGGGGACGTCCCTGCTTTCCTGCAGGGTGCCAGGTCAGTTCAAGTTGAAGTGGGGTTGTGGAGGCATCTGACCTTCCCTCGCTGTTGAAGCAAATTGGGGATACCTGTTTCGCTGAATGCGAGTGAAGGCTCCCTTCGCCCCCCCGGGCAGCAGCTGTGCGGTGCTCCGATTTTGTGCTTGCTGCCCTGGGAACACCTCACCTGCTGTTGAACATGTTACACAGCAGTGCGACCCCACTTCTGATACAAAAGAAGGGCGTGAATGCGAAGCAGTATTGTTGGTGCACTGCATCTGTGCTGCACTCAGTAGAGGACGACTCACATTAAGATGTCTTTGTTCACAAGAAGCTTTAATGTGTGCGGCCGTCCATTTTGGCTCTAGTGGCATCAAATTTGTGACCCGCCCGCCCAACCCATGAGAAGGAGTGATGCTGATCCGTACTGGGCTTTGGGCCAAGGTTTTGGGCCTGTCCGCTCAAGATGTATAGACAGGCCTTTGCCTTGGGAAGATGGCACTTTTTCCTTTCTGGGACCTCAGCGCCCTCCGCTGGGTGCACTTTTCGAGGAGCTGTTACGCTTGCCGCCAGCAGTTCCTGTTCCAGTGCCTACTGAGGCTGTTTCTCAGGAGTCGCGACAGGGGCAGGGATGTCAAGCAGTTCCTGTGCCCTTAGCTTCAGCTTCGCCGGGAGCCCTTAGTCGCGAGGATGCTTTATTACGTCGTCAAGCACTCAGTAAATGGGTCAATCTGCTGCGCATAGCGCCTCAGCTTTTTGATCCTGTTACAGTTGAGCAACTTCCAGCCCAAGGTGAAACAGCCGTGATGAATCACCTGGACTTGTTGTTTTGCAAGAAGAGCTCGAACACGCTCTTGTTACGCTGCCAGCCTCTCACCAGGTTCGTACTGTGGGCTCAGAGGTCTTTTCCAGATGAGGTCATTTCGGAGGCTCTCATTTTCGCTCACTGCAAGGTCCTGATCACAAAGGGAGCTGCTGCAAGCAGTTTGGACATCCTGGTGAGCAGTTTCAATTTTCTACACGGCACTCTTGGCCTAGGCGTCCCTCTGAAGTCCCTGATCTCTCAGAGGGTGCAAGGTTTGGCGCATCAGCACCTGCGCACAAAGCGACCCACGCTACAAGCTGAAGCTCTGACTGTTGCTCAGGTCTTGTTTCTCGAGTTTGTTGCGGCCGAGACGAGCGACCCCTACGAGAAACTGGTGGCTGCCACTCTCTGTTTCATGCTTTATGCCCGTGCACGTCGCAGCGACCTCGAGCGCGCCACGGACATCCTGTTTGACATTGCAGAGGACGGCGTTTCTGGTTTCGTTGAGTGCACCGTGCGCAACCCTAAGCAGGTCAAAGCTGCCTCTCGACGCAACATGATGCTGCCTCTTGTTGCGCCCTACCACGGCATCGGAGAACAGCCGTGGGGCAGGCAGTTGCGCCAGGCCCGCGAAGCCATGTGCCTGAGCAACTCTGGTTCGTTGGCGATGCCTCTATTGCCAGCTCTGAACACGTCGGGCAAGTTGTTACCCAGTCATGTGTCTTCGCGAGATCTTGGACGCTGGCTTCGCGCATTTTTGAGCAGACAGCCCGGGTGCGACCCCGCAGCTGTTACAAGCAAGAAGAGCCATTCCCTGAAGGCCACACCTCTGAGTTGGGCAGCCAAAGCTCATCTTGATCAGAATACACAGGACTTGCTTGGCTATCACACGTCACGTGTGAACTTGAGCACGTTGAGTTACAGCAGAGATGCTTTGGCTGGACCTCTTCGCCAACTTGATGGCTTGTTGCAGGCGGTCCGCCAGAAGTCTTTTCTGCCTGACAGCACGAGGTCCGGGCGCTGGGCAGTTGCACCACAGCCTACTTTGACATTACCAGCAACAGCTTCTTCAAGTTCCACTGTTGCCACTGCTGAGGCTCCCGCTGTTGCTGCCTGCGCAGTTGAGACGAGCAGCTCAAGTGGAAGTGACACTGCTGAAAGCAGCAGTGAGGATGGCGATGAACAGCGTGTTCTTGGTGCGCCGCACTTTCTGGAAGCTGTTCTGAGTCTTGGACGCTTCGCAGTTGCACGCAATAAGCGCAGCAATCTGCATCATGTTTTGAATCAGGAGTCAGTTCGTCTTTTGTGTGGACGTCCTTACAATAACTCTTTCGAGTGCCTTGATTCTATCGATGCTGATACAAGCACCTTTTGCAAGACATGTCAGCAGTGCTCGTTACAGTGCACGTAGGGGATACCTGTTTCGCTGAATGCGAGTGAAGGCTCCCTTCGCCCCCCCGGGCAGCAGCTGTGCGGTGCTGCGATTTTGTGCTTGCTGCCCTGGGAACACCTCACCTGCTGTTGAACATGTTACACAGCAGTGCGACCCCACTTCTGATACAAAAGAAGGGCGTGAATGCGAAGCAGTATTGTTGGTGCACTGCATCTGTGCTGCACTCAGTAGAGGACGACTCACATTAAGCGCTTGTAACGCTCTTGCATTTCGAGTGTTTTAGAACAAACGTGCACAATTGGCACTGCTACTGCCTCTACTATTGCTGTTGTTTCCGTTGCCATTGCCATTGCCATTGCCATTGCCATCGCTACCGCTACCGCTACCGCTACCGCTACCGCACGACCAGACGACTTCGACGTCGACCTCGATTTCTGCTACTACTTTACTACTGCTTCTACGACTACTTCGCTGCTGCTTGCACCACTACACTGCTATACTCGTAGGACGCCCGTGCGTAGATGGCTGTGGGTGTTTGTACTACATGTTCCACTTCGCTCAGTCAAAAAGTGAGCAGCCTCTCGGTTTTTTGCGCCTGTGTTATTCCTGAAGCGTGCAAAATATGGTGCATTCAGGAATGGTGGCAGGGCCAGTGATAAAAGACATGTCGCGCAGCAAAGACGCTGTTCCACCTACTGTCCAACCCAAATCCATCGTGTTGCTGCTTCGTTACTGCTTATGATTAACCACCGCGTACCTACTGCCACCTGCCACCACTTGCTGCTGCTGCTCCTGCTACTGCTGCCACTGCACTACTGCCATCGCCCCTGTTACTATTGCGACTACCGCCACGACTGTTTGGATTGGCAGGTCACTCACAGATGGTAGCAGCGAGCCTGCTTTTGCCAGCTCCCAAGCTGTGCTGTGATGGCCGCGGACGGCCTGAAGGCTCCACTTTGCTGTCAAGGCCAACTTACGACACATCGAAGATGCGACAGATCCTGCAGCCGTGCCCAAACCTTGGTGAATCGGCCTGATGCATGGCATCATCATAGTCGCTCATCTGAGTTGCAGAATTCAATGTCCGAATGCTTGCCAGAAGTTCGGCTACGAATAGCAAAGACTGACCAAACCCCCGAAGCAATCTTTGTTCCAAGATTACTGCAACATCCAGCTTTGCAAGACCCATAGGAAACGAGGTCCAAGCAGAGCGTCGGGAAGGCTGAAAGATGAACTGCGCAGCACGCCCCTGCTGCAAACACCTACCCTGCACGATTTCTTGTTGCAAGGCAAAACAAGGTTCGCCGTTAGAACTAGCTACTGATAAGCGTTGCGGGCCTTCCATAGTGTCTCCACAAGTTCAGGCGCCTTTGTATTTGTGATTATTTGTGTTTTTCGGCAATACAATAGAGTCAGCTCAAGACTTTGAACTTCAAACATGTCTCCACATCTTAGCAGTTTTACGCGGGATTGCTCGGGTTCAATTTGACCTGTCGGGAAGGCCTTGAAAATTAATGGAGTGAAAATTCGCTTCGTAATGCGCCTGTGGATTTAGCTGCGACCCATCCCATGAGTTGTTAATTGTCGCGTGCTCGAGGTCACCCGTACATGGTGTCGTCCATGCCATCAGCCAGAAGGAGCTGGCCTCGTTGGATTCCTCCGAAGCACCACTCTATGAGCGAGTGCAGATGCCGGGCGCATGGGCTTCTGAGATCTTTTGAGAGACCGTCCGGAGATGCGAAGAGTTAGATTCGTAGATCTTCAGGCCGGTTCAAGTCAACACGTCGGACGGGCCGCAAGAGGCATCCCGTGTGGGAGCCAGAAGTCGAGCCATTGCGCCCGAACGTGCACTCAAGCCGAGCTGGTAGCCGATCCTCGAATGAAATGCCCGTCACGCAGGTGCAGGCCTGGACGTACGTTGGTCATGGCGGTTCCACGCAGGCTCCCGCTCGGCGTCAGGCCATCACCGTGTCAGTTTTTGTGACATCTTCTGTGAGGAGCATGAGGAGCCATTGCATGCGAACGAAGGACGATTCTGGGCATGTCCAGGCTTTGGCTGCTAAGGTTGCGATATTCGGGAGTTACCTTATATGGGCTTGGTCTGTGCATGGCTCAAGAATGCCCCCTCACAGCCACACACGAAGAGCATGTCGAATCTATTCTACTTGAATGTGGCTACGGATCTAACTGTGCTGGTGACTGTTGACGCACTCGGCCTGGAGCTACTGCACATGGAGCTCGTGAAGGAGGCAAGGCCATCACAGGCGCAGAGCCTGGATGAGGTGACTCTGACGGATGCGGGGCTCGAGCTAAGGCGGGCGATTGGCCGCTTAGGACCCAGCACAGGCCACAGCAAAGATGTCAAAGAGGTGGTACATAAACGGCTTGAACGGCTCCTAGCCAACTGGCTCCGCACACGGCCGCATGCAGTAATTCTTCGACAAACTCACGCGCAGCCAGCCCTCCGGCTGTTCGTGGACAGGGTCGGCAGCAATGTGGCTGAAGTTTCTTGGGAGCTGCTCGGAGGGCGGCTGAGCGTAGCATTCTTTGAGGTAACTTTGCTTGGATATCAGCGCGCACGCAGACGTGAAGGAGATCCTCAGCTGCAGAAGCTTGGTACTTTTGCTGTTTCTGGTGGGGGAAGTGTAAGGACCTACTGCTTTAATCGGCTGGAGCCTCTACGGTGGCATCGGGCAAGAGTTCGAGCAGTCGGGCCTCACAAAAGCTGGGTCTCGGAGTGGAGCAACGAAGTCTCCTTCCGCACCTTGAGTCTTCTTGATGCAAAGGATGCAGGTCTGCATGTTGTGTCCGACGGCTTCTTGGTCAAGTCGGAACGCTTGCTTCAAAAATGTGTGACTGACCAAGATGTCCCACTCCCGACTAGAGAGGAGCTACAAGTGAGGCAAGTGCGACAGCTGTTGGGAGCATCTACTCTCCAATCATGTGAAGCTGCCACAACAAAGCTGCTGAACGCACGCTACAGCAAGGGCGGCTGGCCTGACTTCGTCCGACAGGGGGCGCGCTTCTCCCGCCCAGCTGCTTCGCGCGAGGAGCGCATGAAGCGAATGCAGCTCGCCATCGCTGCCGAAGAGCTGTTTGGCCCGGTCTATCCACGCAACAATGAGTGGTGCCAGGGGCCTTTCTACTATGAGCCAACCGGCTTGAAGATCTTGCGTCAGATGTCCTCTTCGTAGCCTTAGAGCCTGAGAGCCCAGGCTCCAGCCGTCTCCTGAAGACGCCAACTTGGATAGTTTTTTACGTTGCATGCTGCTCAAATTTGTTCATGAGAACATTCAAATGTCGTCAATGTGCACGTGGCGCAATACTTGGCCCAAAGTGAAAATGAAGTGCCTGCAGAATCGATCTCTTGGTTGGAAGGTCGCACAGTTCTCGCACTTGGTGCTCAGACATTCCTTTGACATACGCCTCTGCAGGAGCTCCGAGCGCTCGATACGCAAAGCTAGTGGTTTGCGGAGCCAAGGCTCCCACATCTTCCAGCAACGCAGAGACACTCAGAGCAGCGAATGTCAACGGACCTTTGTTGCATTAAAGGCCCTGTACCCTGGCAGGAGAGGGGGCTTCCAGGCTGGTACCAGGACAGGCTTCTGCGGACACTGGACAACTGGGGGGTACCGAGCACTGGCCGCGTCCCAAGCCTGGGCGATCTTGTACCATCTGCCTTGACCAACTTAAGAATCTTAAGACCAGCTTAAGACTAACTTAAGACTTGACTCCTTGGCTTGCCCCATCTTGCCTCAAAATGTCACTTGACTTTGGGCCGTGGAGCCAAGGACCATGCCAAGGGTTGCAGCCGCATGCAGCCTTGCAGCATGCACAGTCTGCAACTCTGCCGGCCGTCGAGCTTGGGGCCCTGAATCGACACGAGCCTCCCTCTTGTAAGAAGCGCTACCTGCCACCTTATGCAAAGGTCTAGTTGCAACTCTGCGACTGCAGTGGCCTTTCTTTTTTGTGAGTCGGTTCTGCCGTGTCCTTAGCGACATGCGACTGCAAAAGGCATAGAGACCGTCGAGTCACTAATCGAACCTGCCAAGGCAAGTCCGCGACGAAACCATGCCATCCACAGATGCTGCGACCTCCAGTAAGAAAGCTGCTGGAAAGAAAAAGCGCTTACAGCTGAAACTGCCTCATGACTACGCACAGACACTATGACATGTATACGGGCTATGTTTCTCGCAAAGTGGGGCATTTCGAGATGCCCTCTCGTTTGCGCAGAACCTTGCTTGCATTTTCTCATGAACCCGGCTAAAGCCAAGTGGCCGCCACCTGAATGTGCGAAGTGAGCTTTGCCACACTACTGCCAGGTTAGATCAGACACAGTTTACGCAAAGCATCTAGTTGTTCAAGACGACGTGAACGTTGTATGCTGAACAGCTCTCACACGCAGGCAAACATTCCATGTGAATCTTCACAGAAGAGGGGCAAGCAAGCAGCACCCTTTTTTTAATCACGGCACACGCCTCAGATGTAAAGGGTCCGCGGTGCATGGACGAAGGCACAGGGAAGGGGAGTGAGCATGTCAGAGAGATAAGGCTTTAAGGATAGTACAGGAGCTCTTTTTGTTGAAGATCCTTTCTCTGGGTTCTTTTTCGTTCTTCCAGGACCCGAGGCACTACCCCCGGAGGAGGAGGCTTCTTCGCTGGCCAAAGTGCGGGTCTGCGTCCGCTTCAGGCCGAGAAGGAGCTGAAACAGACTCTTCTTCTCTTCGGCTGTCTGCCCTCTGCTCTCTGCTCTCTGCTCTCTGCTCTGTGCTCTGTTTTCCTATCTCAAAATCGCCGTCGGGGTCGTAAGGATGCCGTTCGGGGGGTTTTCCTCAAGTTCCCTCCCCGAGATGCGAAGACCTTCTTTGCAAGTTCTTCGCATCTCGGGCTTGTTCTGCATGTCGGATGACTGGTTCCCTTGGGTAGAGGTTAGGGTTTAAGCTGCGAGGGCCGCAATCCTAGCAGGTCCTAGCGCTGTTCAGAAACTGGACTGGACACGATTCAGGAGGAAACCAGCCCCGCGATTCGGGAACCCAGGATTCAGGAAACTATGCGATCAGGAAACCAGGATTCAGAAAACTACTCGATTCAAGAAACTAATCGATTCAGGAAACTGAACACATGCGATTCAGGAAACTGCGATTCAGAACGCCGCGTGATTCAGGAGACTGAAAACACGCGATTCAGGAAATTGCGACTCAGGAAACTGAAAACGCGCGATTCAGGGGCGGGGGGTGGGGGGAGGGGGGATGATACCGTTCATGTCCGCGTTCCAGTTTCCTGAATCAGCGAATCCGCGCTTTCAGTTTCCGAATCAGCGCTTGGAAGCTTCCCGAACCCCCGGTTTCCGAATCCGCGTTTTCCAGTTTCCTGAAAAAGCGTGTTTCCTGAATCCTGGTTTCCCGAATCAAGCTTTTTCTAGTTTCCGAATTAGGTTTTTCCAGTTTCCGAATCCGCCGCTGAGCTGGGGATCATAGCAGACTCCGCTGCGCATGCAGGCCCGTGCTGCCTGGAGAGGCCAGCGGATCTTTCAACATCATGCTTTGTGGGTTTACAAGTCAGTAAGTCAGTATGTCCTGTGTCCCAACTCATGCTGACCATTGCCCACCAACACTACTGTGCAGGAGTCTGAGCCCACTGGGCGAGTCAAGTGGGACGAGGTGCCGCTCGTGATGCAGATGCAGGTTGTTCCCATACGGGCTAGACTTCTTCTAGAAGCTGTGAAACGCCACCACTTCCACTCGGACTCACAGAGTCACGAAGAAGCTAGTGGCATGAGCCTGCTAGAACACGACTCACTTGCCAAAGTCGACTGGAAACCAGCTCTGACAGAGTCCTGAGAGACAAACTTCCCATGTAGCGAACGGTAGGCACCGGGACGTGCGCGCAAAGGCAGAGGTTAAGAGGTAGCCAAAACAAGCCTAAGAGCACAGGCAGACCTTCTCAATTTACATCAGCTGACCACGCGGTTGCAGTGTCGTTGTAGTGTCGTTGTCGGCTCTCGAATTCAAACCTCAAGTCAAGTGTCTGCCAGGGGAGTTCGCCTACACGTGTTCACGTCAATGGAGGCCGGCAAAGGATGGCTGCAGCAAATCCAAGCTATCAGAGCCATCTGTCCACCTTGAGGACGCAATGAATCTGGTCAGAAAGTTTTCCAGTTTGCAGCTGACTCAGACTTGGGCAGCTTGCAGTCCCGAGCCGTTCATGGTCACTTCCGTCACATCGCTCCAGGACAGGGTCTTTCCGCCCTCGGCATCTCAGAAAGAGGCCTTCGCGCCAGAGACTGCATGAGGGAGGCATCAGCATTCGCATGCAGCTGAAGGTTTTCAAGGATGCGGGGCTGGATCAGCTGCTGGATGCGCTCATGGACGGCTACCACAGTACGGTCTTTGCATACGGTCAGCCCAGGGATTGGCGCAAAGTTTGCACTCTCTAAAGGAAGCCATGGCCCAACAAAGCCCCGGACCCTCGAAAGCCTTGAGGTCAGACCGGCAGTGGAAAGACTTACACCATGGAGGGGTCAGCGCCAAAGCAACGTTCAGAGGTTTAAGTCAGATCAGACAGGCAGAGTTTAAGCTTCGAACACTGTACTGTACCCAGCTGTTCACCTGCATCAGCTTGGGCTGCCCCGATTTCTGCCTGCCGCGGCAAAGATTCAGGTTTCTCTACCAGCCCGGCACAGCGGCCAAAGCGCCGCAGGCAGATTAAATGTTGGTGAATCGGACAAGTTTCAGACAATCAGACAATGCAGCAACTGTGAGTTCTGCTGAGTCGGCGAGGTGAGGGCCGAGTCTACATCGCCCGACAATCTCGGAGTTGTTCCACGCGCAATTCACGGCCTCTTTGAGCGTATTGACCGGAGAGGCAGCACCAGCCACATCCTCAGTGCCTCAGAGTGTTTAAAAGAGAGACAGGCAGATGCAAGCACCGTAGCCCAGCACTGTACCATCCCTGATGCTATGTAGGCGAAAGTGTCTTCGCGCTGCGCCTTTCCTTCCTGCAGATATACAATGAGCCGCCTGCTTGCAACAGCAGCAGCTTGCAGCCCGGCACTTCGTTCTATTTCGCCAACGTCAGGCGCATCTTTGACCTCCTGAACCCGGTTCACCTGACGAAATTTGGTCAAGGTGGAGGGCTCCGGCTTCGCTGGAATCCGCGTTCACTCCTGAGAGGATTTTGCTGGCGGAAGATATAGCGTTTCGACATTTTGCTTTGCTTTTCTTGCAGCTGCTATTTGGGAACTTGGAAGTTTAGGGGCGGGGGGGGGGGGAGTGGAATTTTCAGGCGAAGCCTCGGTCACTGTGGAGAACCTCTTCGTTTTCGAGTGCAGGCCAGGAACTACACCGACTTTCGACGATTTCCTTTCCAAATTCCTCTGTGACCTGCTGTGGACACGGCATGCGGAAATTCAGAAGCTCTCACATGGAACCAAGGACTGCAGCAGAAGCCTTAAACCACTACAAGGCTGGTTCTCTGGTTCTCTGCCGGACTGCTGTACAGATCGAAGGCCCTTTGAATCTTCTACTTGGCTTCTTGTCAGGCCGGCGTGAAGAACCGGACGGTCGCCAGCCACCAGATGAACCAGGTTGCTGATGAAGACTTGCGGTGGCAGCCATTGGTGCCTGCTCTGGGGGCAATCTCGGGTGGCTTTGCTCTTTCGTTGCAGGCAAGCAGCCGATCCCATTCTGTGCTGATGCTGACTTTGGAGAGGTCTTCCACTTAGCTATTCGCGAGTTGCATGTCCTCAAATTCGTCAATCTTTCTGGGTACTGGCACCTGTCCCAGCTTTCAAGTCGGGGCCGAGGAGGACAGACCATTCCGTTGACCAGTCGTCCAAGCTGACGCTGGTGGACTTGGCAGGATCCGAGCGCCAGGCAGACACAGGCTAGCATCTTGTGTTGCCATGCGCCCTGAATGCCGCAGATCCGCCAAATCGCATCAATTCTATTGAAGTAGTGCCGCAGTCCACCCTTGCAGGTGCCAGCGGTCGTACGCTGCAGGAAAGCGCAAGCATCAACCAGTCGCTTTTTGTGTTGCGGAAGGTCATCGCTGCTTTGGCCAAGCACCAGAGCAGACCCACTCAGATGGCTCTGATACCCTATCGAGAATCGAAACTCACGATTCTGCTACGGGATGCATTAGGTGGCTCTGGCTACACATTAATGGTCGCTTGCTTGTCTGTGCTGGACTCTAGCGTTGACGAAAACCTGTCGACCTTGCAGTATGCCTGTACAGCTGGCAGAATACGAAATCGGCCCGTGGTCAATTTGGATCCCACATCCTTGCTGATCAAGCAGCTTCAGGAGGAGATTCAGAGGCTGAAGCGCCAGCTGGAGCTATTTCAGAAGTACGTTCTTCACGTAACCGGAAAGCCGATACCACTGCAGGTCCTTCATGGGGGCTTGCAAAATGTAGACATGCCTGACAACTTGCCTGAGCTTGCTCGAGAAGCTTTGCCGGATGATCCTGGGGCGCACCCGGGTCCGAGAGGTCAGAGCATTCCAGGCATTTCGGGACCACTATCAGGACCGCAGCAGAGCGCTCCGCTGGACAATCAAAGCCATTGGAAGCCAGCGACGCCCCGAGGGAAAGTCAAGGCAATAACACCACCGCTTGCACCGAGCCGAGAGGCACAGTCACTGCCTGTGCAGTTTTCACAGTTTTCACAGGATACAACGGCACAGGTGGCACAGCCGGCACAGGTGGCACAGCCGGCACAGCTTACAGAGCAATCCAGAGGGGAAACCCAGAGGAGTTTGGACTCTGGCGAAGAAGCAAAAGCCGACGAGACCCTTGGCATCAGCAAAGAGGAACTGGCCGAACGTCTCTCTGAAGCCATCTCCTCTTTGCGCCAAGCCACCACAGAGAACTTCGCAATCCGTCGAAAATGTGATGCAGCGCAGATGGAAAAAGAAGCACTGCAACGACAAGTCAGCAGTTTGGAGAAGGAGCTGCTGCTGCATAAGAATACTCAATATACTCAGCATTCCTCTCGCCTGGGAAGCGATGACTGGTTTGGGGTGGACAGCCTGATGCAGATGTCTCCAGAGCTGAACGACGAAGTCACGGCGCTGACGACAATGTGCCTTTCCTTCGACAACATACACACTTCAAACACCCACACCCGACACCCTGTACTTAAAACCCAGCTGCAGGGAGGTTGCATGGAGCAAGTTTTGAGCGCAGGGATGTGCAGGGTTCGTAGGGCTTTGAATTGTCTGTTTCAGGTTCAGTGGCAGATAAAGATATGACATGGCATTCCGTGTTTGTTGGGGTTTGGTGTTGAGTCTGACGGAGTCAAGGAAGATGGTTTTCGGGCGTTGCTGGTGTTATGGTTGGTTCGGGATGGCGTTTGTTAAATTTGACCTTTCCGAAAGGAATACAAAAATGGACATATATATATATATATGTACATCTCTAAACGCCGTCAGCTCAAGCTTTAGGATGTTGCCGCTGAAAAGGTTCAAGCTTTCGTGCTTCCTGCGAGTGCAAAACCATATAAATGCTGACCTGAAGTTAATCGTACGACTCCCTGGCTACGCGGGGTCCGCCAACATTGAAAGCTTTGCCGGGAGACGCTTGCAAGCTTTGAGCCCTTGTGTAAACCAAGGAAATGGGGCTTCTGCAGCCCACTGCAAAACTGCCAGCAGGGCCCCACCAACCCTGAACCTTTATTGGGCTGCCCTCGAGCTTCAATCCCGTTAAAAATTATATGTACATGTATATATATATATACATATATATATATGCATATATATATATATATGTTTGTTTATTTGTTATACTTTTCTGATCAGCGATATTTGGTTTGCACATCGAAAGCCTGTCAGCGGGGCCTGTCAACCGTGAAACCTTTTCCGGGAAGCCCTCAGCCAGGGCCCCATCAACGCCAGCGGGGCCCACGCGGGGCCCGCGCTTAAACTTCTAGCCTTTTTAGCATCATTCTGATACAGTTTTGCTTGCTCATTGAGGCAACATCATAGTTCAGTTGACTGCCTGAACCTCCCTACATTCCTGTACAGCTGCCGTCAGTTGCTTTGTTCCTAAAATCTAACAACCTCAATTGTCAGGTGGAATCGAAAGCGAATCCGAATATTCACGAATCCGAAAGCCAAGGCGCGCTGCCGCCTTTTACGACCTCCTTCTGCTGAGAGAGGACGTCGTCTGAAGAAACAAAGCATTTGCTATCAGATGCGCTTCGAGAAAGCAGCCTCTAGCATGCTTAGCTCAAGAGAGCACGTGCCGTCAATGCAGGAGCTTTCTGCTGGCAGAGGCCCCAATTGGTTTCGCACAGCCTGCATCAAGCGTATCCGTGGCACGGTCAGGTTGTGTGGCCGCGGGCTCCAAAGACCGGCAGAAAAGAATCGGCTTCTTTGGGCAATGCCGCACATGCGCTTCACTAAAGATCACTGAATTCAAGTAGCTGCACAAGCTACTCAAGCATTTCGCATCCAGGGCTTGCCACGGCGGCATGTGTCGCGATTTCTCACGCAGCTGTGTGGCCGCCAGCGTTCACAAGCATTTGAGCACAAAGTCAAGAGCGGCGAACATGTTTTGACAAGCGTTTCAATGAGAAATGCTAGCGTCTTGGCGAACTTCGCAACACCATAAACACAATATTCGTAACTAAAGTGTTCAGCTTTAACTTTGCAGCCAAAGCGATGCTGAGGCAAATTGCGTTGCGCAGATGGGGTTCCTGCTTGGAAGCTATTTTTATTGTTCTTGTGCTTGAGAATCAGGTGTAGAGCCGGTCATGTTGTCTGGGACTGAGAGGGGAGGAGTTCGGAGCATACGCACCTTGTTCTTGACGGTTGGGCCAGGGCATGCGGGTCCTGTAACCTGGGAAGTTCAAGCCTTACCAGCAAGAGAAG